CATTTTCGAGGGAAGTTGCTCGAGAATGTGAGTAACAACCTCTCCCTGAGAGCATCCTGTATTTCGTCCACAGGAGCTCCCGAAAGTTGACTGGCAAAAGCACCAAACGTTCTGGAACTATTTTAAGCAGAGACCATGTGTGTGGCCAATCAGAACTTTACCCCGGTGACTATTCCACTACACTGCATGGATCTGAGCGCTATTTGGTCAACTTGGGCGTTCAGATTAGGGGTATTCGGGAATATAGGACATGCAGGGGTATTTTATTGTATTGAGTGTGGATTTGGGGTTTTTGTGTCTTATACCCTCTGTGTCCTGGGGCTAATTAGTTTACTGGTTATCAACTCAATTATCTAATGGACACTGAGATGCCTGGGCGGGGTTATGTGGAATACAATGGAGACTCTAATGCGGGAGTCTGTGTTTAAATTCTGTGTGCCTCGCCTGAATAAAGCAGTTCATTTTCACCCTTCGCTGAGTCTAGGCTAGTGTTTGGGTAAACCGGCTATACAGCCATACCCTCTGAAATAGAGCATATTAACTTGAAGCTGTACCAGGACCCTGTTCCAAGGTGTGAAGCGATAGAGAGACCCCAGCCAAACTGCAGTGGCTAGGGGCTGAAGCACTACTAGTTTCCCGGTGATAGCTTGGAAGTGTGCTTGGTGGAGGTACCCAGCTGGTTACACGGAGCTACGTCACAATTACTTTGTCAAGTTTTACCTGATCACTGGGAATTATTGCTGGTTATATTTCACCAAGTTAACTTATCGGAACTCACTCCTCGGGAGAAGTACAGCTTTGTCTGCCTCATAGACTGTCAGGAAACTTCATTACCCTACAGCAGGTTCAAACTACACACTATTTATCTGGCAAAGACTCCCGGCTCTGATGATCTGTGGTCTGAAGTTTAGAAATAATTTACCTCCCCTTTTTAACACCCAATTTGCTCTCACACTACAACAGTATCCTCAACATTTGGGACTTAACTATTCTAGGATTCTTTCTCTTCCCCCAAATTAGGAACTCCACTCCTCCTAAAAAGTAATCTCATATTTTAATGTAGATTTGGAGATATTTCTATCTATTATAGCATATTTTCTCTAGAATATACCCAGTAAATCAATAGGACATCTTTCATTGTTGAAACTCCACTCTCAACATTTGGGGTACTGTTTCTGCCATCATAACCAACAATTAGTTATGAGTTCCGATGTAGATCAGACCCTTAATAATATTTTGTGGGCATCCTAAAAAATATTTTTCAAATTTCATTTCTATTGCAGAGAATGCTTGAATGAGTTTCAAGCTCATTACGCCCACATTAAGGCTTGTGTTACAGTCAACAATCTGACTTAATATGGGAGCAGGAAATTAAAATTGTGGCCTTTACAGATGGTGTTTTTCTCTGAGCCCAAAATGACAACACCACAAATTTTAGGCATCCTCCAGATCTTCAGTAAGGCCTAGAATTTTAATATTAACTACAACAAAGAATTTCCCCCAAGAAATCCCAACCTGTAGTGCTTCTCTTTTTGCCTCCATGCACTGTACTTACCCACATTAGGACATTGATACTCAATGTGTGTAATGTGGTGAAAGGTGTGCAAATCCCTAAACTTTGTGTGAATGCCTTCCACTTCTTCCTTCACCTATGCCTGGGGATTGGCAGCCTAGACAAGAGACCAGAGTTACGTGATACTGGACACTGTTAAAATCAATAAAATTATTCCAACCATCTCATTTCTTGATATTTTGTTTCTTCATACAGTTTACCCTACTCCTGTTTTCAAATAGGGCTCTCTGACTCGAATAGTGTCCAAAACGTGCACAGGACAATCCAGGACTGCTGTATTATTTGCAGGAGTTTTTCACTTTTATCCAAAGTTCATGATAATTACTGTAGAATCACATCATATTGGATTATATTTTGTATAATTGAAGAACAAACACTGTATCTCCCCCCACTCTCTTTTTCTTTACCCATTTCAACAGCTTGCTAAAAGTATTTTACTTCTGGTCAGAGACCTTTCTTCATAAAGACCAATATACTTACAAATTTTGTACCAAATGGTCCCTCGATTACCCGTAAACCCCAAAGACTTAAGTGCAGGTTACAATCCTCCTTCCAATACATTGAGCTGTATCCATCAGATCTTAATTGAGGTTATTTCCTTGTACAGGAACCATGGGCTGCTGCCTGGAAATTCCTCTCCTCGTTTCTAGATATTAGTGTATATATGTGTTAGCCTGTTCTTTTCCCACAATTTATGTATTTTTCATTGTTGCTTCAAGGTAGACCTTATCAGTATGACACACCATATCATGATGGATGGTATAATAATTGTAACTTACTCGTTCTCTGTAGCCAGTTCTGACATAAATGATTGTTATCTGTGTTCTTCACCGAGAGAAGGTACCTAGTGCAATTGTAGCTTAATCTCATGCTGTCTTTTATGAATGTAATTTGATTGCTAGCAGCTGTATTTCTATTCTGTCTTATAAATACAATTAAAAATAAATTTAAAACATGAGAGAAAAAACGATTTACAAGTTGCAGGATGACATAGGTAAGCAGCCAATAAATCTGATTTGGAGTATTTTCCATTTCTTCTTCTATCTTGGTCTAAAGTTTGCAGACTTCATTTGCAATATGCATTATTCTACAGACTGCTTCTACCATTCAAATTAAGTACAGTATTTTTTTAATGTATATATTTTAAAGGTAGCTATCTACCTTAACTCAAGAGTTATGATTTACCAGCATTAGTGTAAGTACAAATCAGAAAAGATAACTTAACATACATCAGTCAACTCTTTGAAACATATCTAGTAGCAGGGCAGGAAGTAATATTATTATGGATTATATAAACACTGTAGAAGAGGACTCTGTGGAGTTAAACTTGCCTGCAGTGCAGTGAAAGTTCTTGATTGCAAGGCCATAAATGGTCTTGTTGACTGATGAATATTTCAAACCTGTAACCCTCCAGTCCACTGGTTTTGGATTTACATTTTTTTCTGGTTGAAGAAAATAACTTTAAGCTTTTTAATCAACCCAAGTGACAGTTTTAGGATCTGTATTTTTTTTATTGACATAGGTGGCTTGGTTACAACTATTTTGTGTTGCAGTATGTTGTGTTTTTAATGGTATTGAAACCAGAAGTTAGGACATCTCGTGATTTGGTTATAATTGAGGTAAGGAGCCTTGGGAATTCTCCAGCCCACAAGTATGTTTATTATTCCCCAACACAGGCCAGGGCACACAGGAAAGGGTCATTCACCAGGCTATTCATAAAGATAGGGAAAAAATTATATTATCAGTCCTAGTGGCAAGGGAATCCAACTGAAAATGTGTTATGAAAGATATCTGAACCTTTAAGAAGCACTGATATGACTGACATGCTGCGATGTAAATAGTTTTGCCTAAACCCGGTCCTTGCAGGCTCATATTCATAAATTACTTTAAAACAATGTTATATTCTATGGCATATTATAACAGCAAAGCACTTGATGACTATAAAGTGAGAAAGTGATACCCAAATAGAGCAAAACCAACCCCAAAATATTAAGTACATCAATTCTAAAAAAACACAAAACAATGAAAACAGAGATGGGTGTGCTAGTGATTGAGGACCTGAAAAAGGCAGAATTTTTTTTAAATAACAGTTGTTTCTCAGTATATATTAAGGAGGAACCTATAGAAAGATATATGCAAATTAATGCTTCAAAAAACTTGCAGAAAAATTGTGACTGGATGACTCAAGACAAGGTGCTGCTGCAGCAGCTAAAGAAAGTTAGCGTGAGCAAAACTTCAGGGCATGATGGTGTTCACCCATGAGTAGTTAAGGAGCTCAGTGTGGAAATTAGTGAATTTTTGGTTTTAATCTTTCAGCATTCTGTTCTTTCAGGAATTGTACTGGAAAATTGGAGGAAGCTAATGATTGCATTCTACGAAGAAGTTTAGAGCAGGGTGTTTACAGTGGGTGTGATCTACTTGGATTTTTCCAAGGCATTTTATATGGTTCCACACAATAGGTTAGTGTTCAAACTAAAATAAATTGGCCTAGATGAATATTCTTGTTCTTGTTTAGAACACTGGCTTAGTGATAAAGTACAGAGAGTTGCTATAAGTGGTACATTTTCAAGTTGGGTAGAAGTGGTAAGTAATGTCTCTCAGGGATCTGTTCTGGGATTGCTTCAATTTAACATATTTATACCTTATCTTGAAATAGGCATTGAAAGTCATGTTTCAGTGTTTGCAGATGATACAAAACTCCGTAAAGTAATACAACATGAGCAAGATATTACTTTGCTGAGTGATTTAGAAAGATTGTGAAGACTAGGCACTCAAATGGCAGATTAAATTTAAAGGGATACTATAGTCACCAAAACAACTTTAGCTTATTGAAGCAGTTTTGGCGTATAAATCATTTCCCTGCAGTGTCACTGCTCAATTCTCTGCCATTTAAGAGCTAAATCACTTTCTTATGCACCTTAGTCACACCTCTCTGCATGAGACTTGCACATCCTTCCTAAACACTTCCTGTAAAGAGTCAGCTAATGTTTATACTTCCTTCTTTGCAAATTCGATTTAATTTAAAATGTATTACCCCTGCACTGTTGATAGCTTGCTAGACCCCACGGAAGCCTCCTGTGTATGATTACTGTTCACTTTTGAGAGCAGGCAATAAGAACTTTTAAAGTAAGTTACATTTAATTGAAAGTTAAACCAATTGTTTTTCATGCATGGTGTGTGAGTCGCAGCCAGGGCAGGTGTGGCTAGGGCTGCATGGACAAACAAAAAGGATTTAACTCCTAAATTACAGAGGATTGAGCCGTAAGACTGCAGGATCATGATCTATACATTAAAACTGCTTTATTAAGCTAACGTTGTTTTGGTGACTATAGTGTCCTTTTAATGTAAAATAATTTATGGACAAGGAACTAACACCCTAAATGGTAGTGAATTAGAGATAACAACACACAAGAAAGATTTGGGAATTGTTATAGACAACAAACTAGGCAACAATGTGCAATGCCAGTTGGCAGTTGCTAAGGCCAATAAGGTATTGTCATGTATAAATAGGGGCATTAATTCTCTGGATTAAAATATAATTTAGCCTCTTTATCATTCACTGGTAAAACCACACCTTGAATATGTTGTGCAATTGGGGGCACTTGTTCTAAAGAAGGATACCATGGCACTAGAGGCAGGCTACAAAATTAATAAAATAAATTAAACATTGTAGTTATGAAGAAACATTAGTACATTTAAATCTTTTTCGTTTAGAAAAATGGCGCCTCAAATACAAATATATTCGGAACCAATACAAACCATTGCCTGATAATCTATTCATAAACAAGACTATGACACAAGGTCACACAATTAGATTGGAAGAAGATTTAGTCTAAGGCAAAGGAAAGGGTTTCTTTACTGTAAGAAAAATAAGGATGTGGAATACTTTGATGTGCAATAGTGGAATGTGGATGTGAAATAGTTTGAATAGACTGTTTTGTCAGTCTCTACATATGTTTAAATAGCAACTGGATGGATACTTGAAAAACATAATATTAAGTGATATAATTTTTCATTTGTGTGTTTTTCTAGTTTGTTGAAAAGTTGGAAACATTTCAAACACGCATTGGACTTTCATGCATTTAGACACTAGAAATGGACATTAAATAACAATTTTAATGGGGAAATTTAAGCAGCATACCCAGTACGGCTTGTTGAGTTGGTTATGCTGCTAGTAGGTTTAAAAAGCTGTTCCCTTAGTTCTGGGTCAGACAATTTTTTGGTGGTTTGACCAATTTCAGGGTTCCTGATCGCCTTGTCACCAAGCTTAAGTTCACCATAGTGCTAATGGGAAAGTGCCACTTCTGCATTAGCACTATCAATTTTGTTTTTCTTTGATTTTCATTGATATACTAAGCACATCAGTTGATGTTTCAGTATATTGCTGGCATCCAAATATGGATTCAATTAATATTGTTAAGTGGCACTTATACATTAGGGATTTGGCTGCCATGTACCAGCTATTTTGTTTAAAAAAAAACAAAAACAGTTAAAGGGACACTGTAGTCACTATGAGCATTTCATCTTTTTGAATTGGTTATAGTGCCTGGAGTACCCCGGCACTGTCCCTCCATTAAGTGTTGCACCATGTTCGTGCAGTATGCCACAAAATAAGAGTCCCTGGCCACCCACAGTGCGGTCCCTTCAGTATGTGTAGCTAAGGCAGAGATTACACACTTCCTTGTTGTCATACCCATTCATACCGTCAGTTGGAACTCTGACAGGCTAAAAGCAGTCAGCTGACACTCTCAGCCAATCACAGCTGCCCATTGCTGCTCAGGCTATTACTTCCTTATTAGCCAAAGCAGCACAGAGGGGATAGATTGCTGGGGACTCTTGTTTAGCATTAAAACTTTAAAAACTGTTTAATGCTGATAGAAATTATGGGACCAGAGGACTCCAGACACTATAACCAGTTTAATGAGATGAAGCAGATACAGTGCCTACGGTGTCCCTTTAAGAAAAGTTTCATCCAAAACCAGGGGATGACACTGAATGCCTACTAGCACCATAACCACTAAATGAGAGGTTATTGTTATGGTACCTCTCCTTTTGATTTTTAAGAATCTGCTCCAACATCAATTTCATACATTCAGCTTGTATGTATATCATATCAGACGCTTACAGATGGTCTCATTTTAGGCCACTTGTTGCTGTTCAGTAGTGGTAGCTTTTTGTAAAGTATACTCTGCAGAGCCCCGGGAAATCTAAACACCCTGTCTTCAGGGCACACTCTTTTTTGATGGAATCCTTCCTACCAAAGTTTTGTCAATTGAGACTAAGGTATATATTTCTCGATGAGAGGCCTGACTCCAGATACCTAAACAAATAATTTCATTCTGTAAAACTTTGCAACATTTCCAAATCCAAAATAAATTTTTTTTTGATGAATTGGCAATTTCTGCAATGTTGTTTTTCAGTCTTCAATACTTTGCTCAGGAAATGCAAAATAGGGTGCAGTTTCTATTGAGACCTGTAAATATTTACTCATGTATTCTGAAAAATTCTTTCAATTTGTATAACAATTGCATGCAGTTTTGAATTGCATAGCCTTTTATAAGGCTGGCAGTTATACTCAAATCTTACACCAAGATTTAGCAACTGATGGTTGTTTAGCTATGGTTGACCAATCCTGTCTTAACATTGTACCACTTTATAAACTCACACACACACATACAAATATCATCAGACACAAATCCAGTCTCTTCCATTTTAATAATTCGGCACCGCAGATACCAAGACAGATGTGAGGTTTATAACACTGTGCAGGCCGATACTTTCCTTCTGACTGGGCTGTGTGAGTTGTGACCAAAGTGAAGAAATAGACACTGGACAGGATCATGCTTCTGATTGGAAAACAGATTGAGTTCCACGTGTGGCAAGGGTTCAGCCCCAGATCTGGCATTCCACACCCTACTTCCGCCTCTATCAACTTGACAAGAGTGCGGCGGTTCCGTGGCAAGTCTCGTTAGCCCTTAGAAACACACCCTCCACTGGTGATTTTGCATGAGGGATGGGTGTCCCTTTCATCCAGCTTGTTCCTCCTGGGGCGTGTTCTCCAGGAACCTACAGTTAAAAGATCTCTCATCTCTTTCTGGAATGGTTCCTCCGCCATGCTGCCCATATCAGACTGCTGTCTCAAGGTCTTCATTAGAAAGGAGCTGCTTGGCTTGACAAGTCTCCAGGAAGGAGGCCAAGTCAGAGTCTCCTGCTTCCTGGGCTTTGTCAAATGGAGTCTTCCCCTGTTTGGATTACAAAGGAATAGTAAAATAGTAAACAATTGTAAAAAATACATTATGTAATAAAAAACAAACAACAAAAACAAATACATAATTAACGTATTAAGGTGTGAACGAAGGGCAGAAACAAGCTTCCATTGTCACAAGGGATCTTATCCCAACACGCAGGAAAGTGGAAACAGGGCCGTCAGAACTGTTAGGCGAACTAGGCATTCGCCTTGGGCGCCGGCCTGCTGGGAGCGCCCACCTGGATATTTCCTGGTGTGCTCCCTCCCTTGGTTGCAGCACTGGGCAAGCGGCTCTAGAGCCCCCCTTCTCCTCTCAGCGCTGGGCCGATCCTCCAGGTACCTGAAAATGGGGGTGCCGAGACGAGCCTGTCACATTTGGCCAACTCAGGTCACCCCCGAAGCTGTCCTTCAGTATGACAGAGCACACACCTGCTTACCCTGATGGCAGGTGCCTGCTCTGCCAATGAATGCCGGAAGAGAGGAGGCAGGCGACGGTAGTGTGGGCAGCGAGGGAGGCTCTTGTGAGTGTCTGCCTGTGTGTGTCTGTCAGTGAGTGAGTGAGTATATGTATGTCAGTGAATGTCTGCCTGTGTGTGTGTATCTGTTAGTGAGTGAGTGTATGTATGTCATTAAATACCCCTCCTGTGGATTTGATTGGCCATGACCGGCCTTTGACCCCAAAAGTAATTACCAGGTTTCCATGTGCATAATTGCTGCTCGGCACAACTTTTCCTGTCAGGACAGTAATGTTGCTTGGCACAACTTTTCCTGTCAGGACAGTAAATGCCATTAACCACATTTTTATGTGCGGATAAATACGTGAAACAGAGTTTTATTTCATTAGCCTTCAGTGAGGTTTTGGCCCAAATGTCCTCATTAGACTTTAGATTGGGGAATTATGGAGAAAATTGAAAGTTAAAAGAAGAGGCAGACAAAAAAATGCAGAACAGCTGTACATAATTTTTTCAAATTAAATCAAATGCTATTATGAGCCTCATTTTACAGTATAATAATAAGAAGAATAAACTGACCTATGCACTATTTTAACACCATGCATTGAGGTATTTCTAGGGTTAAAATTAATCTATCTTGCATCATATGTCACCAAAGGACAAGAATTAGTACTCAATGTTTCAGTGCAGCAGTATAAGAGATGGAAGATGGACATGTGATGTCATGTCCTCAAGGGGATATCTTTTTCTCTAGATGTTGAATAGACTAATAGTGGCTGACTGGCTGCCGCAAAGCAATAAAAAATAACCACATTACATATTAAATGATAATGAAGCAGACAGGCATCCGGCGCCCGTGTTTCCAAACTCATGGGCTGTCTGTCTGTCCTTGACAGTTATTACATGTGAATTTGTCTAGACCATTTATGGCTTACTTTGACACTATACAGGTTTGTGAACTAAATCTCCTACAATGCTTACCCAGCCTATAGGCTGTAATGCTAAATTTAGCAACCACTGATAGGTTAGTAAGCAGGGTCAACCTCTGCGCCTAGAAGACTTAATGGTCCAAATCACTGTAACTAAAAAAACATCTGTATTTAGAAATGCTGCCTGTTGATGAGATCCTGAAACTTCGTATTATTACCATGGCATCTTTCTTTATTACACAGGAACCCGCATCCACTAAAATCTGGCAAATTCGCCCATGGCCGTAGAAAGCAGCTTTGTGCAGTGCTGTCTCTCCCCTAAAGAGCAAGAAAAAAAAAACTAAAAATATTACCATTGTGAAGAGATTAAACTCAGATTTAATGACAAATTAAGAGAAAACAGATTGTTCTGCAATATCAACAAATGCTGTGAAAAAGATGCTACAATACAATGGATATTAAATTAGAGGTTTCTGTTCATATGACCTTTTAAAACGGTAGTCAGTATCAATGGAAAAAATTACAAACATTTTATTTATGAAGTGTTAACCATCACCTATTGATGGAGCTGTACTTTCAAAGGCTTAATCTGCTGATAGCACCTACTACTTGATGTCCAGAGATGATACTAAAGAAGGTACATGCTTACTTTTTTAGCAGCTTCTGTAGCTTGTGGGTCGAAACCAGCGACTTTTCTCAAATAGATAATGTACACGTAAGGCACTTCTATTTCCTTCACTGAGTATGTACATATTATGCTAACTCATTTTCTTTTAGTAGGTACATACATATGAGTATATTCATTTTCTCTTAGTAAGTGTGTATATGTAGAACGTATTTTCTTCTAGTGAGTCTACCTTTGCTTGCAATGACTGGGCTAATCCCATACAGGGGAGAAAGCTTGAACAGTGAGCATTTCATCACTCTGTTGCATTGTCCTTGCTCCTTTACGTTGTGCTGTGCCGCAGGCCCTTTTAGAGAAATGGTGCTGGGGTGTAAAATTACTTTTACCCCAGCATTATATATCATGAGACCCTACAGCAGGAACAGTAAGGATAACATGGACATATTAGACTGCTTCCAGTCCATTAAGAGCATATGCATTCAAAATGTTGCTGTTAAAACGTCATGTGGTGTTTTAAATGTCCCCAATAAATAGGACAATACAGTGATGACACTGCATTGGTTTGACTGCAGCATCATTAAAATGCCACAAAAATATCACAGTGTCTTCAAAAGCCACTAAGATAAGTTAGATCGACATGTAGATTAGCCTACTGAGACATTAAGGTTAGGTAGATTTGGATTAAATTGGATTTAGGGTTTGTGGATACATGTGTTTTCTGTGCTCTGTATTGATACTCCCATGATTCTAAGCCTGGCATATTTGTGCACTAATAAATGCATTGCAAACAGCTTGGTTGTACCCGGGTAAAATCTGTTGACACATAACAACTTCTAATTCTAACTGCCTCAATTTTTCCCTTATCCAAAACACAAACTTTAACTCATAAACTCCTCAGCTTAACGCTCAACTTTAAATTCCCAAACTCTAGGTAGCATCAGTCTAAATAACACTGACATTCTTTAAGGTGTCATGCTGTTTGAAAAATCGACATTCCAAACACTTACTCCATGACAGTCGAATTTAACCTGTGTTGAAAGGAACAGAGAATAGCTTGTATCAGCAGTCCCTAGAAAATGGTCTATTTCTTTCTAATTGTATTAAGTCCTGCATATAGAAATCTGTACATTGCCAATATGCATTACTAGTGCCTGCAAATACAAACCAACTGATCCATCATGCTTG